GTGTTTTGGCTTACCACAATAGTTATATTTCTGTAAATCTTTGGACTGGTCAAACTAAGCAACTAATCCAAATTTCTCAACTGGTACTATGTAAAACATAACATTCCTTTTACGTTTTTCTTACTGGACATAACAATAAACTTATTGTAAATGAGGGAAGAGAATCCTTATCCAGCACCTGCAACCCGTATCTGATCATATTCGGTGTTCAGGTCAACTAAGAAATCATAAATCTGCTCTTTTTTTATTAATTTCTGAAATTTGACTGCACTTTCAGGACAATCTGCCTGAAAATCTTGATAATAATTTAACTCTGACATAATCCACTTAGTCTGAAAAATATTGAGAAATAATCATTTCTCTTCGTTGTGTACAATGAACCTTATTCCAAAATTCATAAATTTGGGCATCATTATCCATTTGTGAGTATGTGAGAGATATTGCATTTCATATTTTTGCTACAGTATCGAGCAATAAATATATTCATGGAATATGAAGTTGCATAGAATTGATGAATCAAAACATTACCAAAGAGTTTTCAGAGTCTTATCTGTTATATTCCAAATCACATATATCTTATTTCTTCATATCACTTGTAATGTATCCCTATAATCTTCTAATTTGGCCAAATAATAAATAAGATCTTGACCAAGTAAGATAATTAGTTTCACCAAGTTTCACGAGACTAATTTGTAATGAGGGATTATCCAAATAAGAAACTATCACCTTTTTTATTTCTGTTATTTTAAAATGCTAAAAAAAAAAAAAAACCAATAATGAAAAACAGATCTCTTAATCTGCACCGAAACAGCCAAAAAGAATTGAAAAATACTGAAATCAGATATATCCACCTCAGCTCAGCTTGACTCGGCTTGGCCTTAAAGTTGGCTTGGCTCGACGCAAGCAGCTTGGTTTGGGCTTCGACCTCCTCGACTTAGGCAGATCTGCAGTACACGACGCAGGCATAAAAGTGAAGCAGATCATGTCTGCGATCTTGCACGAAGGCACAGCAGGTGACGCGTCTGCGAAGTGAAGCAGATCGCAGCTAGAAAAGCTTCCCGTGTGCAGCTCTATGTGTGGCGGAAGAAGAAAACTGTGAGTCTGTGCATCTATGTGTCTGTGCGACGCAGATGGCCGGAAGCACGAGTCTATGCAACGCGGAAGGCTGGTGAGTCGCAGCCAGCAGGTCTGTGCGCAGAGGAAGAAGGAATTGGGTCATGGATCGAGGTGGTCGCAACTTTTCGTGCAGCTCTACACATGGTGGAAGAAGGAACTGGGTCGCGCGGCTTTGCATGCAGCTGAAGAAGGAACTAGGCCGTGCGGCTCTGATTTTTCTCTTCCTCTGATCTGGCTTCTCTTCCCAGATTTGGGTCTCTTTTTCCTTTGATCTGGCTCTTTTTGCTATTCTTTGCAAAAAAATTCTGAAATTAGAACTCAAAAATAGAGGGGTGAAGAAGGCAACTCCAGATAAATGGGTACCAACCCAGCCTATTGTATTATTTTAGAATTTAAAGGAAATCCTGAAATTAAAACTCTAAAAATAGCTTTATTTGATTCTGATACCATATAGATTTTGGAGAAAAAAATAATAATTTTATTTCATATTTTTTAAATTAATTACATTTAAGGGTATTTATAGAATTTCTATCCTACTTATAAGGAAAAATTTTATCTTACTATACTTCTA